TGTGCAATAAAATACCTGCTTTATCTTCTCTTTCAGTGTGTCCTTGTCCAGCCGCATGGGCTCCATACCCAATATGTCCTTTATTGTAACGAGCCAAGAAAGACCCAATAAAGGAGCGCCTGCGGCGAACCATCGACTGAAAGGTGTTTCAAAACGATGCAGTGGTGCTAAAATTCTCATAACAAACCTCCTCGACTTCCAGTTTCGCCACTGATCTGATCTGTTGTAATTTTGTTCCCTTTTTCGCCAATTGCGGCCTGCTAAAGTGATAGAGTCGCTCTGACTGGAAATGCTTCGGCGAAGACTGCTCGCTAACCTCAGATAGAGTCGTGCCCGTAACGACGGGAACATCTCAAAAGAAAATAACATGTATTTGGAAAGAAATAGTTGAAACAGTTCTTCAGTCATTCGTTACCAGTGCCCAAACTCTAGTCCAGCTTAATAAAGGATTATGAAAACTCATAATTTTCAGAGCGCTCTAAAGCCTTCAAAAAAAGGTACAGATAAACGAAGCTAACACATTTCCAAAGTCATTTTCCTAATCTGTTCCAAAACTTTAGGACAAAGACTGGTAGCTAACTGATATCATGGGCTATTCGTAAGAGCTATGCGATGCTAGAATTGCCAAGGATTCTATCAATAAGAACACGTTGATTCGTCAATGAACAAACCCCCTCTCATTTGTATAGCAGAAACAAAACCTAAAGATTTTCGCAGAACACATTCAACACCCCGACCATAACATAACACATATAATACTAACGCAGATACTTGATAAACAACAGTGGATGAAAAATTTTCGATCAATAATTTAAATTTTATTGCTTGAGGCATCTGTGAATGATGCATATACGATTTCGTACAATCTCAATACGCAATCAGAAAACATGACATTCAGATGTTTGCTAAAAATGAAAATGCTAGAATCTATGATAGATACCTGGATCAGAAACCGGCTCAAAAAAGTACACAATACGTACAAACATGTTACAATGACATACCAAATAATGACATGAAATGCACAAATCAAAACACCAGCTTCAAATACACGATTAGTATCCTATACTAAATTTACACTACTTCACATCCGAATCAATCCATCTTTAAAGCAAAACTTGAACCACAGGAACAACCTTTCTCAGCCACGGGGTTATTCACAATTCGGAATGAGGCCTTCATCAAATCTTCCACATAGTCGATGGTAGCTCCACGCATGTAACCCAAGGACATCTGCAACTTCAGTTTTCGTCTCAAGAAATGACAAGACAAGTTGTCAATAATAAGTCATAGTACTAAAAAACTGCGCGAGCAATTATGCGACCACAAGAATGAGACTCTCAGAAAATGCGCTTGAACCTCGTCAGAATGTTTCACAAAGCGCCGTACTTTATGATACTTGTGAACCTATCACGTTTATATCTCAAGCCAGTATATTTAGTTTATCATCCATTTTCACATGTTTCAGGTGTTTCCTTCAAAATTTTATTTCTGTTGATTTGAAAGTTACTGTAAACTCAGAACATTAAAAAAACATGGAT